ACGGTGGTGCTCTACGACGAGCACAGCCGCGACTGGAACGAGAATACGGGTGGCGAATCCGTGCTGGGGCTGCTCCTCAAGCGCCTCAAAGATGAAGGTTGCAAGGCGTTTTATCTGGAAGGTGAGAAGGGCCGCACAGGGTTGGGGGAGAGAGAGCTTTAGCCTGGGGGCCGGAGCTGTCGGGGCCGGGGAGCCGAGCATCGCGGCTCTGCCGAGGGAAGGGAGGGCAGAGGGAGGGGACGGTGCGTCCGCAGCATCTCCCGGGCAGTGCACTGACACGCCGGGAGGGCACCAACCTGAGTAGGGGGCTTTTCCCCCCTCCTCCACCCCCCAAATTCCTGTCCTCTCTTTGTTTAAAGAGACCTCGAGGTCTGGAATCACTATGGCAGCGCAGAGAGGAGAGGGCTAACGGGGATCCCGGCATGAGCCGGGCAGAAGGAATTGCCGCCGACACACCTCTCCAGAGGTCCCCGCAGGGCGAAGCGGTACAGAGCTTTAATCCTGGATGTGCTGAGCCCTCTGCCGCAGCGGGCGATTTTCTTAACCCTTGCTTTAAATTAGTCTCTCTGCATGACGAGTGTGATATTTTTCTTTTTCCCGGGGCTCGAGAGGGTGCGAAACAGACGCCCCTTTGCAGACAGGGCTGTACCAGGGAAGTAAATCGACTCATATCTCATATCAGGCTGCATTTTTTTTTTTCTTTGCTTTTCTCTCCAGGTGGTTTTAGCAAGTTCCAGGCCGAGTTCGCCTTACACTGCGAAACTAACCTAGACAGTTCGTGCAGCAGCAGCTCTCCTCCTTTGCCAGTCCTGGGCTTGGGAGGCCTCCGAATCAGCTCCGATTCATCATCAGACATTGAATCTGACATTGACAGAGACCCCAATAGTGCCACCGATTCCGATGGCAGCCCTCTCTCCAACAACCAGCCTTCCTTCCCGGTGGAGATTTTACCCTACCTCTACTTAGGCTGTGCCAAGGACTCCACTAATCTGGACGTTTTAGAAGAGTTCGGCATTAAATACATCTTGAATGTTACCCCCAATCTGCCTAATCTCTTTGAAAATGCCGGCGAATTCAAGTATAAACAAATCCCGATCTCTGACCACTGGAGCCAAAATCTGTCTCAGTTCTTCCCTGAGGCCATCTCCTTTATAGGTGAGACACGGTTATTTGCTAACAGCTGTGTGTCAAGAGGCAGAATTCAATTTCTTTTGTAGAATTCGGGAGATTTCGGGCGAGAAGCAGTAGCAGCGTTTATGGCAGTCTCTGGGGGATGCCCTCTTTTCTGGTTTTAAAGCCGGCTTAAGTTGGAGAGGCGGTTGGGGACTGTTTTGGGAGGTTATTGAAGAGCCCCGATGAACTGGTAAGCGACCTTTGCAGGTTGCAAAGGCATACCTGGTTTGCCTTGCTGTGGGATTCCTCCCCGAGCCGTTTGTGTCGGAGCTGGGGACTGAGCACTGCGCAGGATGGGGATCTAAGAAGATCACTTCCTGGCCGCGGGGGGTGGGGGACAAATGAGCCTTGGGTCGATGGCTTATTCGTCCTTCATTTTGTTGTTTTGGGGTTTTGTTGTTTCGGGTTTTTTCCTTGTTTATTTTTTTTCCTCGAGCTTACTGAAGAGCAGTATAATAAAAAGAAGCGATCTGGGAAGCTAACTTTAGCTTTAAAGCAAGTTATTCATAAGCGGTATTCCTGGCAAATGTATTGTCAGAGCTTTAATTAAATCTCGTGGTAATAATGATACACCTTTCGGGCTCGGTGCCTCAGTCAGCAAGCCCGCAGACGTTACCCGTCAGCTCTGGAAACCTGTCCCTTTGGGCCCAAGGAGTTCTGGTTAGAATTGATACCCTGCTTCGTTTCGGGGAGGACTAAAACCACCCCATCGGGGTGCGGTGGGGCGGGCATCGCATTATCTGTTGGGAAGTTGTGCTGTAATCCGGTTGAATGATACCGGTAATAGTGGAGAATGTAGGTAATCTGAGCCCAGCAGGAAGAAATGTGGGCTGGAAGCCACAAAGAAACTAATCTCCAGGCATTGTAATGCATTTCCTATTACAAAGGAACCCATTTTCAACCAGTGTTGACATCCTGTTCCTCCTAATGGGCTGTCCCCTGTGACTTCCCTCATTCTTTTAAAATGCCTGAATACCTCCATTGTTAGCTGCACAACAGTTGGAGAATAATTTAATAGACCTTTGCAGTCTGCTGGTCTGTATAAAAGCCATTCAGTGACATATTGCAGGATTTCCATGCTGGGGCAAGGGGACTGTAAGAATTTAAAGGCAAATCTCCAGGCTAAAGTGTGTCTTTTAAAACTGACTTTTAAAACAGTGTCATGCAGCCTGCTCCCTTTGTCTCATTCTTAGTTTTCTCAGCTCTTGGGCTCAGTACATATACGTAGGGGGAGTGGATTCTCCTCTTGTCCTCATTTTAGGCTGCTAAAGTTAACTCTTGAGTTGCACTGCTGGCCTCAGAATCGTCCTTTCTTTCTGCTTGAAACTAATCTCACTTGTGTTGAGAGATCAGTTACCAGCCGCCTGTCTTATGTGTCCTTCTCTGTGTTTTTGTCTCTGTACAGATGAAGCACGGGGGAAGAACTGCGGTGTCCTGGTGCATTGCTTAGCTGGGATCAGCCGATCGGTCACAGTCACAGTGGCCTACCTCATGCAGAAGCTGAACTTGTCCATGAATGATGCCTATGATATTGTCAAGATGAAGAAGTCCAACATTTCACCCAACTTCAACTTCATGGGTCAGCTGCTGGACTTTGAGCGGACTCTGGGACTGAGCAGCCCCTGTGACAATCGGGTGCCAAACCAGCAGTTGTACTTCACCACCCCTTCCAACCAGAACGTCTTCCAGGTGGATTCCTTGCAGTCCACGTGAGCTCCCACCACTTCCCTTCTGCTGTCCATTTCATGGGATCACTCCTCAATGGTTTCTCTTTGGCAGTGATAAAGAAATACAGCTTTCTCTTTTTCTGGCCTCTGCTCTCAAAAGGCAGCTGCCAGTGCAGGCAAGGAAAGGTTTACACAGTATGGAATCAGCTATTGCAAAGGGAGGGAACGTGGCAAGCTCTCTGGGCAGGACTGTGGTGAGCAGGTGAGAGGTGGGCAGCATGCTCATCCCTGCTTGCACAGTGGCTTGGGTCCGAGGACTTCCAGAGGGGTAGGGAGAGGCTGGACAGGCTGGGCACGTGTTCTCTAGAGACTGGAACTGTCCTTCTGCCCTCTCTGCTCTCAGATCTGTGACACACATCTTTGTCTTCAGTGAAGACTGGTTATTTTTGTTTGTTTGTTTGTTTTAATTTAGAGGAGCCAAAGAAAGATTTCAGCTTAGTGTATTTGGAGTACTTGTTTGCTGGGAGCTTGGTAGTATTCTACTTGATCAATGTAAATATTTAACCTTAAATCGATTTGCAATTTTTTTTTAAATTCTCATGTATTCAAGGAATCAATCCAAGGGACATCTGTGGTTTTGTTCTTTTCATAAATTCTGCTTTATTTGTTGTTGGATTTTTTTTAATTGCAAAGAATATATTTGCAGCATGCTTAATTTTATTGTTCAGTTGAAACAAGCTTTCCATGAGGGAGAAATGGCAATGGTGAGAAGTTTGCAAATCATGTTTTGTGTGCAAGTAGAGATTCTTCTTTCATCTATCTTTCTTTTCCTTGTGGTGGTATTTTTTCTCATGCTTTTGATGTAGGTTCCACATGATATATATATATTTTTAAATTAAATTAATTTTTTGCCTTACCTTTTGTAAATAGATCATCTGGGAGGAGGTTTGTCTTTGGATGCAGGAGATTTTTGATCACTTTTTAAAACTTTCAGATGTGCTAAACAGTGCATTACCTCTGTACAAATTCTTCAGGGAGCTTCACCTCAAATGCAATATTTTTTGTCTTTTTCTTTTTTTTTTGTTTTTTTTTTTGTATAGAACTGGAAGTATGTGCGAACATTTGTACCTGTGTGTACGCACAGTGAACCTGCACATGGTTGCCAATAAGGGAGAGTCTAATTCATGGTGTAAAAGTTTTAAGATGGAATTTATTATAAGAATGTAAAACCTTAAATTATTAATAAATAAATAACTATTTTTGGCTATGGAGAACCTGGTTGGTTTATTCCCCCTGTCCCCTCTGTGTGAGTGTGGTTAGTTGCACATATACATATGGTTATGTTTAAAGGTAATGATTGCTTTCAATAGCTTTTGTACAGCCCCTAAGACAATAAAGCCTTCACTTCCCCTTTTGCCCACTAGTGCCTACATGAATAAACAGTGTATGGGCTAGATTTTCATCTTGCTTCTCATCTGCTACCCGGGGGATGCACCTGACTCTGGGCCATAAGGTTTTTTTCTCATTATTATTGCTTTTTTATTATTATTTTTAAGAGTAAGGAGCTGCTGTCTTCTGGGTTTGTTTATGAGTTTCGGTCACTCTATTACAGATGCCAGGAGATGGGTTCATGCTCTCCTTAGCTGTCTGGCAAGAACTCATTTCACAGATATCCATCAACAGTCTTCAGCCTGTAAATGATTTTTCTGTTGCCATTCAGCCACATTGCAACTTAACATGTGAAGGCACGGAGGAAAAGTCTATATAACCTTAGTCACCTCATTTCCTCTTTGGACCCTTCAAGTAGTCCTGTCTCTGCAGGAGGAAAAAGGGGGATTATAGCGATTGCAAAACTTCCTGCTACAACTTATATTCAGTAACATCCTTCCTCATGAGAAGTGGCCCAAGATAGGGTGGTGCCAAAATCTGCACGCTGTACCACGGTGGAGGGCTGATGCTGCAGCTGGGGCTGTCGGCTGAGGTTCTGCAGAACTCCTGGCAGCCAGAACAGATTTCAAGTAATTTTAGAAACTGCAAGTGTGTGAAACGAAAAGCAAACAAAACATGGGAAAAAAGTGAGTCAGTGTCTCATGCAGTAGTGGCCTAGATTGAGTGCATAAACTGTGAAAGTAGAAGTGGGTTGCAGTTAAACTTGGCTTGTGCTAATCCAGTTTTGAACGGTTTCCGCTCTTGGCATTCCCTATGCTGCTCTGTTCAAAGTGGAGATTTGCAAGCAGCTCTAGCAATTTCCTGTCCAGCTGCAGCTCAAGTGCCTCCCTTGTTGTTTTTTTTTTTTTTTTTTTTTTTTTAATATAGTCTGCGGATAATTTTAGCCAGTTTCCTCTGTGGATTATTAATCTGCTTTCCCTGTAGAACCTACATAGCTGTGTCCCTACTGTTCTGCTGAAGTCAACAGATGGCCTCCCCGCCACTTCCTCTTGTTTCGCTGTGGGTTTGTTGTCAGGCCACTTCTGAAATTAATAGTGTTTTCTGGCCGGCTGCCACAGGCCATTACCACAAAGGGGAAGTAACACATCTGAATAGCAGGAAGCTGGGCAGGGTCACAGCGTGAACTGAACCTGTTGAGCGCAATCAGGCCTCTCCCGTTTGGCAAGTGTAGGACTCCTCTTCCCTCCCCCTTTTTAATATGCCTTGCACAGAGAAAGGGCTAACACCAGATGCCTCAGCTGTTTGCACCGGGCAAATATTTCCGGCTGAAGGAGTTGTGAATGTTAATTGTGACTAGGTGCCCGTTGAGGTGAGGAGGTAAAGATCAGTGTGCGGCTATGTAGCCCAGGGGAGGAGAGCCTTGGCTTTCTTTGCAAGCTGCTTTGAAAAGTTAGTGCTCACAAGGGCTTCCTGCTTCCTTCCTGCTGCACCAAATGACTAACACCAAATGGGTACTTCTGCAATTCATCATTTTTCACGACAAGCAAGCACAGAAGACCAGCTTTGCTCACAGACACACACACACATACAGCAGAGGCAGGCTGAAAACCTGCTCCAGATTTTTCCTCGAGTCAGACCCTTGGCTGAACTTGACTGGGCAAGAACAACTTTGGTCACAGGCAAACCCAAACCAGAACTGGAGCCAACGCAAAACCTGCTTCAACCTCTTTTTTTTTTGCTGGGGGTGTCCACAGTCATGTGCTGGCTCTGAATTGCAAGTGATTTGGAGAAAAAAGTGATGGATGCTCTCACCAGCAGTGTCCACCCTTCCCACACAAGCTCCTGAGTAACTGTCCCAGCATGGTGCAGGGAATAGCTCATCCCACACAAGCACTTGCCAGCTTTTCTGAGCCTGAGCTCTGCTTGTTCCCTCAGTGTGTGTCCTGTTTGCCCCCACCCAGTACTTGTTTCAAAATAATTTGCTTCCTCTCTCCCCTGCCTCATTTCAGTCCTTGCTGGAATGGGGCAGAGGTCTCAGGCTTCTGGCGGTTTGGCAGCTATTGCAGTTTCTCAGCTGGTAAAGTAATTGGTAAAGGGAAGAATAAATCCTTTGTGCCTGCAGGGACAGGTCTGATGTGTATAGGGGGAAATATCCCCACTTTGCAGATAAAAAAATATCACAATCTGCTTCATATTATAATGTAGGAGTGTGAGGTATGTAAATCCTTCAGAAGCTATGAACATACTAGGAAGGAAAGCTGTACCCTCAGGAGTGATCAGAACTTTCTCACATGACCCATCTCTGTCTTTAATACAAAGGATGGAATTGTGTCCTGTGGCATCTGTGTACCCTTTGGTAAGGCCAAAGATCTTTTCAGTGTTTGGGAGCACACTTGACGCTAGCACTTTGCTTTTCATTTTCTGTGCAGTAACAACGTGTAACTCATTGTGCTGGTTCCCCTTCTTGCATTTCCTCTTTCCCACACAGTTTTAAACCACTCTATGGCCACCTTCTTCCAATTCTCTCGGTTTTCTGTGGTTGTAATAGCCATAATTTTCTCTTTCGCCATTCTCCTTGTCCGTTTTTAATGCTGGTTTTCCCTCTATGCCTTCTATTCTTCCACAGACCATCTCCCAAGCTCCATGTTCTGACTTCTCATTTTTTTTCTTACCTTCTGTTTCCCATGTTACTGTCTTGCTGTTTTCCCCATATTTCCTAAATCAAGTCCTCTTTCTTCCAGCCTTAAGCTTCCCTGCTCCTCTTTGTTTTCACAGTAAGTAACAGGATGAGTCTCATGGACTTGATCAGTTATAGTGAACTATAGGAAAGGTGTATAGAGAGGAAGAAGTAAGAAAATACTATTGCTGTCCTCTTGCCGCTTCCTAGCAGGTGACCTTATTCTCCATCTCCATTCCTGTCTCTGTAGATTTGGGTTTACATGGCTTCCCTGGGTTCTCTCTATAGCAATCAAGACTCTGCTGCTGCTAACAGGGAAGGCAAATGTGAGGAAGCAGCATTTCCTTTGGGCCCATCCAGTGTCAGACGGCACTGACTCGGGGGGGGGGAGTGTCCAATGTGTCCAACAAAGGCAGCTCTGCTACCAAAACTGAAGCCAGGTTTAGTAATCGTGTGTCTGGAGAACATTTCTTCAGCTTCTCTGGAAAGCTTATCCAAAACTTTTTCCCTGTTGAGGAGTGTGATGAGCACGATGACACTTTATTGAGAGTTCCAGGAAAAACAATTTCTCACAAACATCTAAATAAAGTTACAGCTTAAGTCCTCTCTCCACACTACTATAAATCACCAAAAGCTTTGCCTGAGTGAAGATGGTGGAACAAATTGCTATACCCAGTTCAGTGGCCCCCTAGACCTTGGGCATGTGTGCTCAGCATTGCCCAGTTACCCCATGAACACAAGCATGGGGCCATATCCCTTCGTCATGTGGCAGCGCATATGAGTGACTTGTGGGACTCCAGCAAGATGCTGCATTCAAGGAAGGTGTCTGAGTTTTCTCCAAACATCTCATAGCCAAAAGGAAACAAGTACTACTCACTGATGTTCTTTCATGGTGTGTGATGACACTGGATTGTACAAACTCTGTGCTTTCTTCCCCCTGCGACAGCTAGAAATGGGTGGTACTGCATCATGGATCTCCT